GGGATGACGGCGGCGGGGGCGGCATCCTTTGTGCTATCGGTAAGATTATGTTCGGGCCCGAGCGACGGAAGTACAGAAGGATTCACGTCCCCCTAATATTGTCAAAAATGTTTTTCATTTTTCACTATTAACATAAAACATAAACTAATGAAATTAAACTGATAACTTCACGTGGAAGATTAGACGTACTTAAGAAACACAATCACACAGCAGCGATCGAATAACGATATCACCTGCCAAACTCGTCAAGATTTTTTGAACCTTTTCTATTCCCGCAGGCTAGTTATCAAATTTATTGCAGATAGTGACCCTCAGAAGACGGAGAATCTTTGGTCCAATCAACATTATAAAATAAGTAAGCCATGTATTAAATTAAGATAATTAAATACTGCAGTATCAATACAACAGTAGTACACACAATTTTTTTATGTTCAAAAAATATTTAACTTTATTGTCAGAGTCATTGTTGAATACAAGAACAGCTGGAACATAACACTCTTATAATGTACTACGAGAACCTTGTTAATTTAATTACCTAATTAATTTACACCTAATTAATACTAAATCAATTAGGAAGTGTTGTCCTAACTACAATTTCGCCAAGATTTCACGATTTAATCACTTTCTTCGATTCTTCCCCTTCCTCAAGTTTATACCATACCACTATGTGTAGCAAGGAGTCACAATGAACACAATGCTAGTAATGTTACTAAAGTTAATGCTAGGCAACAGCGTGCTATCGACTTTGCGTATGAGACGGAAGTTGCTGGCGATTAGGGCGAGGGCTCTGCTTAACGCGACGCGGCGGGCGAGCGCGTGGCTTCGCAGGGAATGCGCCCCCTCCCCGTTCGTCTTCCGCTGCCAGCGGTCGACGGAGCGCCTGCGTGTCTCCGCGGGTCACGGCGACCACGCGAGGCGTCCCGACGCCGCCGACGCCGCCGACGCCGCCCAGCGACGTCTGCCGCCCCCTGCCAGCGAGCGCCGCCCCGCACTCGGGATGCTAACGGACGCGCGCGCCGTGCCTCGCAGTCTCCTATTCGAATGGCACGCAATATTTGTGTTGGCGCGACCACATACGGTAGCCAAAATTAAATCCCAAATTCTGAGCTCTGCATTTATTGTTGAAATGAATCTTTAAAAATGTTTAGGTAAAAATACAATATAATAATAAAAATGTGGTCATCGAGAACACGATTTCAATATAGTAATTGTGTAATGGAAAAGTTGTGCGCTCAAACTCGAGTAATTCAAAATCATTCGAAATAAAATCCTCGAACAAAGAATATTTCACAACAAATTTATCCGAATAATACCTGTGGCACATACACGTTTTGAAACGTGTGCACGTACGTTTTTGAAAGGGCTTAAAGCGGGAGGTACGTGCAATCAATTACCTCTCATCGACGCGAGCACCTTCCCCGGGCGATCGCGTGGGCGTGGGCGGTTGCACTCACCGAGCGGGAGCTGCGCGGCGCTGGG